AAAATTCTGCTTCATATGAATACAAAATAGGTCTGCTAATAAAGGAGCGCGATTGGTACCCATGGAAATTCCAACAGGTTGTTGTAAGACCTGGTCTTCATAAACCACATAAATATTTTCAGAAACTCAAGCATCTTTTGATGTCAACTTCAGAGTACTTGTGTGTGCAATCAGAATGTGTTTTAACAGAATAATTTTGTAAATACTAGTAACCTATGTCCAGGTAAGTAAATTTACGAGTTCCAAAAATACTTCCATATTGAAAACTACTTTTACAAGAAATGAATGATCTGATTTCGAATATTAGTATTTTTTATGTTAGGAAAATATTACTTGTTTCATGCCTATGTAGTGTCTTGTCCTCTTAAATTCCTGAAATGCTACTGAAAACACCAAAACCTTACAGATATATGTATACTGCGGATATCCATAAGTTGTAAATGAAAATAAAAAAAAAATAGTGGATGGCATAAATATGCCACCATAACAATCAAAACTTTAACTTAAAAGACGCCGTTTTATGTTTAAAAGTCCGCCATATTTAGCCATAAAATCTCGAGCCTATTGCGATGGAAAAGATTGTAATACGCAGTTGTTAATTAATATCAGCATTGCTTGACCAAAGACTATTTCTGCCTTAAATTTATGTGTGATGGTTCAGAAGATAACGGTATACTTTTGTTTATTTCATCAATGCATGTAAATGCAATATTTTATTTGAAAACTTTATATGTAAAGCATACATAATTTTGTTTATACGTTTGACAAGTTTTCCATTTCGGGGATATTAAGTTGTTTCATGCCTGATGCTTTATTGGTTGCATTTGCTGTCAAGGAAAATGTTCTAGGATTTTTATTCTGTTTTATAATAAGATTGTTTTTGTAAACAAAACCAAAAGTACCTTGTAACATACAAAAAAAAAAAAAAACACAAATTTTATCTGAATTGATCTGATTTGAATTTTGTGTAATGATAGAGGTATAACTTAATATCGTCGCATTTTTTAGGCTTCTTTAATTTTAATGACGATTTTTTTCCCACTGCTCGAGGAGTATATAACACTCTGCTAGCCTGTGTTTAACACTCATATCCAATCATAAAATTGGAATATGCATAATTTTTTTTAGTAATATATTTACCTGTCCAAAGTCAAAGAAATTTAGTCTGCTTTGAAAAAAAAATTATGCATACATTAAAACTAGACAAAGAAACAACCAAAGTTTCACAAATCATGCTCACGGATAAAGGCACACGTTAACGTTACTGATAAAAAGTTCAAGTCCATTTAAATTTTTTTTCAGACGATGAATAATCAATATTCCCCAGACGGGTTTTCCATAAATTACTGTAAAAATAACTTTAATAAAATACGACACCCTTTCAAGTGTCCTGTTTATAAAATGAAGCTTGTACCTTTCAGATGTACTTTTATGCAAAAAAAAAAAAAATGAATTCACCTGGGGACTTTTTAAAATTTTGAATAGCTTTTTCCCGATAGAATTGTGTCCAGCTGTTTGCTTGCATGCATTTCCTCTGCTTTTTGCACGTTTCCGTAAATTTAACATATTTTCAACTTCTTCTCCAGCCCCATTGAGGTGTTGTTAAACCTAACCAATCTTGTCATAAAACATCTTTTGCTTAGGGGATTCAAATTTGCTCGACATAAAAGGCCCTCTTGTAAGTTGAGATAATGTGACAACTAGAAACCTTAAGGCCTTAACCTTTACCTGAGCACAATATAACACTCTTAACCCCTAGAAATGTATCAGAAAAAATTAAATAAATTTAAAGCTGAAGCCCAAAATCAAGAGAAATACTATTATTGATGAGAAACAAAAAATGAACTTTAATACAACATTAGTCGTAAACATTTCATTCTTTTTCATATTTTCTCTTCCCTGTATGTGAAGAAATTTTTAACACCATTTAATGTATAAAAATATTTCTGTCTCATTTTTTGCTCTACTGGTCAGAGACCAGAAGAGCTTATGCGATGATAAGGTGTCCGTCGTCCGTCCGTCTGTCTGTAAACAATTTTTCAAAATGCTACTCCTCCAGTTTTGGTCGGATTTCAATATAACTTGGCACACAAGTAGACTACACTAAGATACACAAAATAGTGCATCGATTTTTGATTTCAATGAACAATGTTGCCATGGTTACTAAAAGTAGAATTTTTACAGAAATTACTTTAAAACACTACTCCTACAGTTATTATCTGATTGCAATATAAATTGGCACACAAGAAGATTACACTTAGATACATAGAATAGTGCATCGGTTTTTGATTTTGATGAACATTGTTGCCATGGTTACTAAAAGTAGAAATTTTGGAGAAATTACTTTAAAACACTACCCTTCCTACAATTTTGGTCTGATTTCGATATAACTTGGCACACAAGTTGATTACACTAAGATACATGAAATAGTGCATCAGTATGATGAACGTTGTTGCCATGGTTACTTAAAATAGAAATTTTTGTGAAATTTCTTTAAAAACGCCACACCTCCTACAATTTTTTTTCTGCTTTCAATATAACTTGGCACACAAGTAGACTACACTAAGATACATAAAATAGTGCATCGGTTTTTGATTTCGATGTTGCCATGGTTACTAAAAATAAAAATTTCTGTGAAATTCTTCTAAAACGCTACCCCTTTACAATATTAGTCTGATTTCAATATAACTTGGCACACAAGTAGACTACACTAAGATACATAATTCTATTTATTGTTGCCTGTTGCAAAGTTTCAAATCCAAGTGCTACTTTTCCTTTGTCACACGTACAGACCATTAGAGCTACAGTCTCATCAGAGACTTCTGGTTATTTATCTATTATGTACAACCCATCCTGTCTATAAAAATCTATGGACTGCTTCAATTAGCAGTTTTTTTCTCAGTAGAATACAAAATGGAGCCCTTTCCATTACCAGATAGCTTGACAAGTGGACTAGAATTTCAAAAGAAAACTTCATAAATAACTATCATGCATTTTCTCTAAATAAATAATCAAGAAAGTAACCTTAGCCTGGGGTCAGAGATATAACACTTTTGAAAGAGACAGTTTCCTTTACCTTGACCATGCAAATACTTTATCTGTTTAATACTCAGGAGCAGAGAAGAGTTTATCACAATTAACATTTCACTATATAATCAACAGAGCCCCGCCATAACACCAGAAGCCCGGACCCTGGGGTCATGTTATTCACAATTTTGAAAGAAGTACACTTGCTCAACATAACTGTGCACATCTGCTGTTTGACTGCTTTATTGTCACGGGTATCGGAGTTAAATAGCGACCCGTGTTCGTGCTGGTTATGATGGATTTCCTACATTTACAATTAATTGCAGTTACGTGTATTTGTGTATGTTTTTATAATGTACTGACCTATTGTTAAACTCTATGGTATCTTACTCTCCTGTAGCAGAAAAAACCCAACAACATTTCTTACCTGCTACTGAGTGCTATTTAGAATACGGCCGTCTGTACATGTGACGATTGATTACACTTAATAATGTGACTAAGTGAGCAACTCCATATACATGTATATGGACCCTCAGATATGGAAAGAGTCCAATCGAATATGGCGGACAAATTCTTTTTACGAATCGTGTTCAGCTTTACCATATAGAAACACAAGATATTTTGAAACAATTAATTCATTTGCACCAGAGGGAGAGATTAATTGATTGTATGTTGTTTTACGTCCCATTCGAGAATTTTTTACTCATATAGAGATGTCACCGTATACGGCGAAGGGCTTCACATTTTGAACTTTGTTCGGCACGTATGTCCATTGAGCAGTGAGAGATCTTTATCGGACTAACAGGTGGGCCTCGGTTTTTAAATTATCATTCAAATGACCTGCAACTTTCACTTTAAAGTGCTGAGTGCATTGTAAAGGAACAGTTGCTACCAATTTTTCGACTTTCGACCGAAATTCGAATTCACAACCTTCCGATCACGGAGCGAGCGCTCTACCGACCTATACGCAGCACTCATAGCCATTTTAAGCAATGAGGAAGCTTTTAATTATCAGCATCTACTGCGACGAAGGGCTTTGGTTTATATAGTCTCATCCGAAGGATCATTCTTGGATTTGATCAGGATCATTTCTATACTCGCGACTCTTAACAAAAGCGCAAAGCGGGCGACATATTCACATGCAAAAGCCCCTTATTATACTGACTCAGGTTTTGGCAAATCGTATATAGGATGTGAAGGACCAAACTGTTTTATTTTTTTTTTGAAACTTCAAAATATTTATTTACATTTGGAGATCACAAAGAGAAATCTGGAAGATTTTTCTTCTCAAGAATATGAAGGTCGTGATTTTTCATATTAAAATTAAACCAACCACATAAAGTGCAAATTCAAATTTGTTAAAAAGTCTTAAATTGGAGACGATTTTTAATAACATCACATTACGTGGTCAAAGACTGAAACGTATCATGCATGTATTTTTCAATTTTTTGTAGTCATACATGTATCCTAACTATGGTCAAAAAATTCAAATAATCAACCAGGCTGAAAATACTCAATTCGAAACTTAAAAGAAATACCTATATATAGTTAACCCTCTTGTAGAATATTCATTTTCTCGCGGTTATCAAAGTAAAAAATGAAGATGAAGGAAAGCTTATACATGTACCTTTTATAGGCATACATAATGACCAGAGCATCCAGCTAGAAAGTAGGACTAAACAGTCTAAGAGTGCTTTAAGCGGAGAGGCTGCATATCTTTTTTTCTCCAGAAATTTCAAATTATAATAAACACCACGGGTATAAAAAATGTAAAAGAAAATATAAAATTTTTGAACATGTCTAAAGATTTACAAAGAGTCATAAGAAAGAGCATTACAAATTGCAAATTAAAAAATCTCGAAAGAGAATTAAACAATATACAATTAATCAATCATACAAAAATTAACCTCGAATAGAAAATAAAATCAGAAGTGATAATTAACAGGTATAAAGTTGTTTTTATTTATTCAGTAGGTGATGGAATGATTAACTGAAGAGCTATGCAGCTGTCAATTTTGTTCCTGCTGTTCCTTATTTTCATTTTAAAGGTAAATGATGTTGAAAAAAAATCGTTTTTTAAATTTGCTTAAGGAGCCCGTTGAGACCAGTTTTTTGCGTCTAATCGCAATAATGTTTTGCATTTAAACGCAATACCCTTTTGCATTTAACCGCAACAATCCTTCCTCCTAAGAATTCATTTTGCATGTAAACACAATGATATAATGCTGTAGAAATCTGACATCGATTAGCCAAAGATATATAATAAATACTATGTTCCGATTCTCTAAAGAAAAACAGTTTGGTTCTGTGTCTATTTGCAAAATGTTGCAGTTTTTGAGAATTGAAGTTAAACAATGGCATTCTAACAAACCGAGTTTCTTAAACCTATTAGAACCCAGCACTTTAAACGAAGCCTTTAATGAATTGCTCACGTATCACAGCTAATTAAGAATGTCTCAGTATTAATAGACAGATCAATTTGGTAGTACACATCGATCAATCTGTTTTCATTTGATTTCAATTTTGATTTCATATGATTCCATCTCATAAGTTCTCGCCTTTACTGTATATGATCAAATGAAAGATTGTGAATATACATTACATGTACATATACATAAGTATAAACATTTCAACGGTCGTTTTTAAAATTGTCGGTATAGTTTGAAAGTTTAAAAGTAGAAAAAACAACAAATATAGGAAATGTAATTTCTCTTTGTGAGCAACTGACCAGAACTTTAACAGGTATACAGATATATATATACATGCTTAAACTATGTTTCGTTCTTAGGTTGTCTTTGTTTTTACAGGCCGACAATTCTCTCTCCTCTTTAAGGACGTTCGATCCTGAGATTTTGAGCGTAATTTGGTCAGGTCCTTTATTTATAAAATTCTGCATCATTTTTAGGTTCTAACATTAAATCTGAATTCTACAGTGCAAATTTAACTATATTCAATGAAAAATTAGCGATTTAATTCCATTCAAGTAGAATTAAAATAGGGATTATATTTTGTGGCGGAAGGATTTTTAGACGAAAATGATCTGTTCAGTTTTTCCATTTTTAACAGTACTGTTAATTTTGGATTCCTATTTTTCCATCCTGGTTGCATAAAAAGCTGTTTTTTGCAGTTAAATGTGTTATGCTGGTTCTGAAATATCTATCAAATTATTTCTTATGAATTCTATCAACAAAGTATGACAAATATAGTAAATATATTCTGAAAATCCGGGAAAAAATTGAGCCAATTTTAACATAAAATTGACACTTTTTTAGTAATATCTGAAAATTTACATCATATACCCCCGCTTTTGAAGTTCTTTTCTATGGCCTATTTGCTTAAAATCAGAAAAAAGTTTAAGACTTTAAAATAATTTTCTTGCTTATTAAATTTTCAATGCCAGAAAATTCACTTTTTATTAGTGCAGAAAGGTAAAATAATTGATTATGCGAAGCAATTTAAAACTTTTTCTTAGTCACAATTTTTAAGTGTCTTTTTTTAAACAAACTTAGAGTTCATTTTGTTTCATGCTTTAATTGGATAAAAATATTGGAGGGAAAACGTCAAAAATATAATTTTTCATCAAGACACAAATTTCAGTGCAAAAAGGTCATATTGAATGTACTGTAGCGCCTAAAGAAGCGTATTGACCCCCATTTTTTGATTTGAATTTTAATTAAGCTATGTATGTAGGAACTAAAAATATACTTGGCAAAAAAGTTTAAGACTTTAAATATCAGGATCGAACGTCGTTAAATTAACAACAATGATTTAACCATTCAGAAAATGTTTGTTCAGAAGAATCTGATTCTATAAAAGCAAAGTAATACACAATTCTCTTAATAAATAACTGTACAAGAAAGAAAGAACAAAGGTCAGTATTTGGGTCATTGTAGTCTTTAAAGATCAATATTAATAGAAATGATAGATTTTAAATACAAAGATTATTGCGTTAAAACCAGAGTATTGCGTTTAAACGCCAAGAGAATTGTGTTTAAATGCAAATATTTATATTTTTATTCGCAATACTATTGCGAATAAACGCAATATTATTGCGATTTAACACAAAAATTATTGCGATTATATTTTTTTCTCTGAACTGGCCTCAACGGGCTTCCGTACAAAGGTGCATTTTTAAAAAAAAGTTTTTTTTTTCAATACCATAGTTTCTAAAAATTCTGCATTAGTTCTAAATATTTTGTATATATGTAACTCTTTTCTCATTTTTATATTGCCCTTTGTGACTGCCTCCCATTTGTTTCATATTTGGATATCATAACATTCATAGCTTAATGACAGACACGCGCAATCTTATGACTTTTGATTGCTATACATGTCTCCAAAAATAATTCAGCATGCTTTGAGTAGGACCAACTTTAAAAAAACCGTGCTTTTATAGTATAAACCGGTATATCTGAAAGCTTTTACAGTATTTATTATACAATTATGGATTCTTTTGGTGTTGAATATGGTTTGTTATTCACCAGAAAAATATTCATATTGACCGAGGCGAAGCCGAGGTCAATATGAATAATTTTCTCTTTTGGTGTTGAATATGGTTTGTTATTCACCAGAAAAATGTTCATATTGACCGAGGCGAAGCCGAGGTCAATATGAATAATTCTCTGGTGAATAACAAACCATATTCAACACCAAAAGAGTCCATAATTGTTTTATTATATAGTCCAAATTTGAATGAATAAGACATTGAACAGGTTGGGGGGAAACGTAAATTCCGCTATAATAGTGGTATATCACTATCATAGTGAAATTCCGCTATATTTCCTGCCGTATTTACCCTCGATATCATCAGATAACATGCTTGCTGTTTAAACCGCAACTCATGATGGGTATCAAAATGGATACTAATTTTCATCCTTACATATTGTGAATTTTATTTAATTTTCTGCCGATGCGTTTAATAATGCGAACACACTTTGTAAAACGGAAGTTACATTTTTAACATAGCAACCAGCGATTGTGGCAGCATTCGAGAAAGACTGAATTCCAATTTTTCTCACACATGTGCAGAAATTAATGCTTGTAATAATTTTCAATCTGCATTGAAAGAGGTTTGTTGAATATACTGTAGAAAGGACAATCTTTATCTGCATGGTTACAGGTATGGAGGCCCATTGGAACAGATGCCAAAAACCTTATTTTATGTAAACTTTATTTTTGTAGAACCGATATGTCTCGTCTAAATGCAATAAATCGTAAACGATATATAAGATGACACTTCTTCCGGTTATTTATATACATGTATATGTCCATATGCAGGGGGCTCTATCCCCCCACAATCTTTTTCAAACATTATCTTTCACTTTTGAAAATGTTCATTGAAAGGCTGGTTGCTCACTCCCCCAAATTCTTCTTGCAGCATATAGTTCAATAATGGTAAGTTGGTCATGTATGATAAAGTATTAATTTTGGTTGTGAAACGAAGTTGGTAGCAATAACACCCAGCCTCAAACCAACCTAACACCCAGCCCCCCGCCCCTTCCTAGAAATAGGATTTTCAATATTTGAAATTCCTTCCAATTTCCAACGTTTTTTTAAAAGTCTGTGTTCTATTTTCTGGCTACTAACCCCCCCCCCCCTTCCGACTCTTTACATATGTAATAGTTTATTTACGTTACATTTTTAATTTTTATCCAACAAAAATGACACGAAATATAACTGTAATTTTCAACCAAAAAAAAAAAAATAAATAAATAAATGAAAAATAAACGTTTGGATTTAGTGAAATGATGAAAGACACTGCAGATTATGACACAACTGCTTCATATTTGGATATTATATTGGAGAAAGAGATCGATGGCAAACCAACTACTGAACTTTACGGTAAACCTGATGACTTCAATTTTTCTATCGTCAACTTCCTTTATTTATGTATATGGATCTATAAACTCCTCATGGTTGATTTAGTGCGCATGAACATTTTCTTCGTATGACAAATTTTAAAACGAAGCAGGCTTCTCGCAAACAAGTTGATACATAAAGAGTCTACAATCTCGCATGAGGTCAACACTCCACAAAGTCCATGTTCAATCGTCTGACCTCGGATGCAAACACAATCTGTCGAAGGTTGACTGACGTATTTCATACAAATTGTTAAGCCATCATTTTTATACTAAATTGACTACAAATATTTCCGTTTATACTACCATGAAAAAGAGCAAAAGGCAGGTGTGACCGGTCGACAGGGGATGCTTACTTCTGCATGGCTCCTGATTTCAGAAGTTCGTGTTTAATGTGCTCAAAATTTATATTCTAGATGTCCTTTTGAACTTAATTACTGTTTTTTTTCTTTGTATTTTATTGAAACTACTTATTATCTCATTCATTGTTGGAGAAATAATCTTATTCCGTTACAGTCTTAATTTACTTAAGATTTCATAACCCCTTTCCTTGCATAACTTAGTTAAATACTAGGTATATCATATGCCATGCAACTGAGACAAGAACAAAATTTATACTATAAGATGTCACTTCCACATGTACAGGTCATCCCATGCAAAAATAATGCGAGTCTCTTTCCGGGATAAAACTAATCGTTTGAACTTGTCGTTTTCCCATAAAATGAAACGTCATACTTGTGATAACCTGAAGAAGTGTCATCTTATAGATTGTTTACGATTTATTGCATTTAGACGAGACATATCGGTTCTATAAAAATAAAGTTTACATGAAATGAGCTTTTTAGCATTTGTCACAACGGGCCTCCATACCCGTAACCATGCAGATAAAGATTGTCCTTTTTACTGTAAATTCGACAAACCCCTTTCAATGCAGATTGAAAAATATTACAAGCATTAATTTCTGCACATGAGTGAGAAAAATTGAAATTCAGTCTTTCTCGAATGCTGCCACAATCGCTGATTGCTATGCTAAAAATTTAGCTTCCGTTTTACCAAGTGTGTTCGCATTATTAAACGCATCGGCAGAAAATTAAATAAAGTTCATAATATGTAAGGATGACAATAAGTGTCCATTATGATAGCCACCATGAGTTGCGGTTTAAACAGCAAGCATGTTATCTGATGATATCGAGGGTAAATACGGCAGAAAATATAGCGGAATTTCACTATGATAGTGATATACCACTATTATAGCGGAATTTACGTTTCCCCCCAACCTGTTGAACGCTGAATGACGACACCATTTTCATAAACAAACTTCCGTCGTTGAAAACAAATGTCCAGATTACAGTTTGTCACCTCCGTGTTTTCCTTTCCGAGTTTCGCTATGTGTAAGACGTCCAAATGTTTAAAATCAATCCTGCAATAGGTTTATATAATATTTTTCCTGCTCATATACGTAGCTCGCTGCGGGCGTTGCAACCATTGTTTACAACGTTGTTTTAGGTGTTGATTGTGACGTCACAATGCCGCTGCACGCGCAATGACCATCCGGTGAATACGGTCTCAAATCCAGTGAATATTATAAACTTATCCACTGGTTGTGAGTGGACTGGCTCTTTTATCAAGTCTGCGACAGGGAAATATTCCCCGAGGCTTGCCCGAGGGGAATAGTCCCTGTCAAGGGTTTGATAAAAGAGCTATCCCACTTACAAACAGTGGATAAGCGTTTTATTATACTGATGTATACTATAATTTTTGAGGTTAGAATTTTTTTGGAGTAAGATAATACTGCAAGAATAATCTGAAATCCTGATGACGTCACAATGCTACTGAATTCATTATGACATCATCAGTCAATAGATCTATCGCTGTAAATCAAACTTGGTGGCAAAAATTGCATGAAAATTTTCCGAGGGTGGATAGCAAAAACCCCGGGGTATAGTTTTGCTATACGTAGACTGTAAAAGATAGTTATTTTACTCTCTGAACTTTATATAGGAAACATTTTAACAGAAGTATAATAAGTAGTGTTATGAACTGTTTGCGCTTGTATAGATTATATTGGGAATATAAATAGACTATATAGTAAATACAAACGTTAAATTGTTTGTACATTTATTTATTCATTTGCAACATCATTGTAAATAAATGGTTTTTTTTAGAATGTTGGATCCTCCAGTTGTCCAGAATCTTTGACAACAGTAGATCAAGTGGACGGTTGTCCAAGGAATAAAGAGGAATGGGAATACAACGCAATGAAGAAAAATTGTTCAAGTGTGTCACAGAATTGCGTAAATTCATCAGAGTTTTTATACCACTGCGTTATAAACGAGTTCGTAAATATGACAATTGAAGTTTGTGCGCCAAAAGTTACTATATTAGGTAAGAAAAGTTAATGTAAACCTCTGTGAACATACTTGGCGTTGTAAAAAGGAATTGCTACAGATAAACGATATTGTTAAATATTTTACATTGTTTATGATCAATATTAATTTATATTTATATATACGGTAAAAGCACATATTTTTGAGGGGTCAAATTTTCGTGGTTTGAATATTAGTTCATGGGGATTTGATTTCATGGTTGAATTGCATTTTGTGGTGGACATAAATTCGTTGGTCTCTTCATACCTTGAAAACCACGAAAATTTAACCAACATGAAAATAAGTGTTTTCACAGTACACATAATCTATTTTAACATTTACTCTCCATTTATTTTTTACGTAAATTTTTACCTTTATTTAATAACAATAATTTACTTTCATTAATTCTATCTTTATTGAAATTGATGGTTCGTCAAAGACGGACGTAAAAATAAAATCGCGAAGAAATGGGGCGGCCATTTTAATTATTTGTTGTTATAGATGTTTCATATATTTCATAATAAATGTATACTTTTTGACTACTCAGTATTTGTATCTCAAAATGATGGTGAAATATTACAGGTGTATCACGGAAATCCGTTCTTAGATTAAATAACTGCCTACAAGCCAGTTCGATAAAGAGTCACTTTTTTAAATTCATTTATTATTATTTTTTACGATGTTTTGGTAGAACTGTCATTGATCAGGTTTTAAGTCCGTATGTTTTATTTTCTGTCAAAAACATGGGTCAATTTCAGATCAAAATATACGATGACCGATAGCGGCCGTCAATTTAAACTAATATTATGTGTGTAGCGTGTACAGCATTTTCAACGAAACTCAATGGCAAGCTACACTTGAAACAAAAAGTGTACAGCGTCATTGCAAAATTCCATGTACACTCTACACCAACTTTTGTGTAAAGTGTCAAGAAAAGTTTCATGTACACTCAACATCTAAAGGTGGTATTAAGTAACAAATTCCCCTTTTTTCTTCCCTAACATTGGTACCTCTTCAAGAGTACGAGACTTGAACATTATATAAATGGTGCCTGTTTTGGAGGGTAACATTTGAAATTGACACCCCAAGGAAAACCATTGTCAACCGACGCGTCAGCGGAGGTTGACAATGGTTTTTGTCAATTTCAAATGTTACCCTCCAAAACAGGCACCATTTATTTTATTATACTGAATGTCTTATTGATTTAGAACGTCAGCAAAAAAAAAATAACGTCGATCGTCTTTACATTCATGTATAGAAAGCTTTCACACTCACCGGTTCACTAATCTCTTTATTGTTTGTTTGATACTCGAATTAGAGTCATTTATCATAATAAAGTTTCGTTCTTTCTGGCTCGCAAGCATGTTTCCTACACTCGCAAGCATGTATCGTCTGTCGTTTGTTGTTTTCAAGTAAGCTATATCGGACGCAAACTGTTATTGACGTCAAGTTAATTCCGGTTCTTTCAAACGCGCAACTGACGTTTTGAGAATTCTACGGTGAACCGTACGCGCATAATTTCCACGCATGTGGCATTACCGTTGTGTTACCCGTTGTCACGTGTGTTGCTAAGGCTCAGGGTAATCGAACGGATTGTTAACTGCGTCTAAACCAATCAGATTTTAGTATTTAACATGAAAGTATAATAATAAAAAATACCGCCAAGATCTTTTGGTAAGTTGAGTCGAATAAGCACAAATAATTATTTATAACTGCATTTTTGATATCAAGACATGCTTCTATTAGATATAGAGACTGAATATCTTTTTAAGTAAATGAAATTCTAACCGAATATTCCAAAATGAGCAGTCTACCCAAAAAATACGATATAGAATCAAGTTATGGAATTTAATATAATGCATACATGTACAGTACAAAATTACTCTTTTATGAAAAGTTAAGGTAATTAATTTGTTATATTGAATATGGTTAAACAGATCAAGCTATTATCATTATATCAAATTTGTATATACGAAGCCGAAACTTTACAACAATAAATATTTTCTTCAGTGAAAATGCAATGAGAAAAAGGCTTAAATGAATGGGGGAGTCCAGAAGAAGAGGAAATAAAATAATTGTTTCATCACATCATCCCCCGAATTACGCATTGGAATGCACAGAGACCTACAAACAACAAAAAGACATTTCTTTTTTTCCTTTCAATTCTGCATAAATCTGGAAATTATATTGATTAAATTTTATCATAAAATTTAGAAATTCATAACTTACATGTTGCCCTTTCGGAGTTTCCTCCAGAATCTTCAAGTTTGGCGCATAAGCTTAGTGTAAATCTAAGAAACACGTGAATGTCTTGAAACAGAGACAATTATAGGAACCAATTAAATTAGAAGATGGGTACCAATGTGGGGGAAGAAAAGAAAAGGAAAGAAAAAGAATTGTTCTCTTTATTTTGTTACTTGATACCACCTTTAGATGTAGAGTGTACATGAAACTTTTCTTGACACTCTACACAAAGGTTGGTGTAGAGTGTACATGGAATTTTGCAATGACGCTGTACACTTTTTGTTTCAAGTGTAACTTGTCATTGGGTTTCGTTGAAAATGCTGTACACGCTTCACAAATAACATTAGTGTAAATTGACCGCCGCTATCGGCCATTGTAAAAATACTATAATTGTATTTGTCTATTTGTAAACTTTAAGTATGTTTCCGAATATGAAGTCAATGTTTGATCTTTCGTTAACAATTCAAACAAAAAGATAAAAAAATAGGTATAAACATTTGTGTTTTGTAAACTATTAAACTTAGACCTAACTTTCCTGTATTAAAAAAAAATTATAAAAATTTTAGGAGGTATACGTGGGATTCGAACCCCAGCAATAAAAATACGAAGTATCATACTGCTTACGCACATAGACTAACGCGCTAACTACTATGCTACATGATTCAATAAGATTTGGGCCGGGCTTTTAAATCATGTTTGTGATATGACTTTTGACTTAATGGACTTCTCGAAAAGATGCGAATGTTTTGTCACAAAAGTGTACTTTTAAGGTAAAGTGTGTCTTCGCTCCATTATTTTGTAAACCAAAAAAATGTTTATTTTATCACAAACTTTTAGGATTATCTTTCAAAAAAAAAAAATGCAGCGAAAACCCACTCATTGAAAAAAATTGTTAAAGTATGAAAAAATGATAGTTTCTTGTCTTTTTAGTCTGTGTATGCTTTTTCATAGGCAAATATTTTCAGTCTTTGTGAGATTGAAATATGAAATAAAATATGGACATAATAGAAATTGAATTTTTCACTTCATATCTGTCGCACTATAGGCATTCTGTCCGCCTTATCCCCCCTCTTCTTTTGATTAAGTTCCAAGTTTTGTAAATAAATATTATTGAAGTTACAAATTTTAGGTTTTGCATAAAACGCCGATTTTTCTAAGACTAAGTCGGACATGATATTTGAACCAACATTAAGTCTAAATATTCCGACTTATAGGCGAGTTTATACTGTATATCATTTAAATTGTCAGGATGGCAATAAGCGAAGGACAATATAGATTACATACCGAGATAGGGCTGTGTATCATTTTAATATTTACATTGCATATGTTTTGCATAAGTGTGTGGAAATCGACAGCACTCAAAACACCATAACACAGACAGGGAATCAAAAGATTAAAGCATGCGTTTTATTTTGACGTCACAAACGTTGAACGCACTGGAAGTGCAACTTTATATGCAAAAATCAAAAACCAAACTCACATTGCACAGAAGCTGTTGCAACATATCTTCCATAAACTGTAACTTATCAACAGTAATACAGGGATTTTTAAATATAAATCAAGTTTGCATTGAAAGGCAAGGTGTTAAAATTGTAAATATAAGCAATGAAACATATAGTTTCATAACAGCAACGGTGTGTGCAAAAACATTTTCAAAACGCGCGAACAGGCGTTTTGAAAATTTGTTTGCACACACGGTTGCAGTTATATGAGACTATACCTTTAAAAAAAATGATTCATTGCTTAAATTTTGCATTAAAAACATACAGTTAAAAGGAAGCATTTTAATTATTGTAGGTCGAAACTGTGCGGAATTTAATATGCATGGAGCAGTTATTCAGGATACCGTTCAAGGCGTTAATGCTACATGTAAAGACCAAAATCCACCTTGTCCTTTTCGATACAACTCAACCGATTCATATAAATGTAAGAAATATGAAATACAAAAGTCTAGACAATTTTCTATAGATGTAAATCACAAAATTATAATCAATACAGTCCAAATAATTATCACAATGTATTTTCCTTTTTTATACGACATGTATTGGAATTATTTTTATTTTAAAATTATACTCATTAATATAATATTCATTTTTATAATTGCCAAAAAAATTATATAACACTGTACCTTTTTCAGTGGAGATCATGAGCTTAAAACATGCTTAGAAGTTTCATCATGAAGTTAAAGAAACATTGAGAATATAAAAAAACACCAAAATCATTTGAAAATAAAATTAACTCTAAAAGCTTATCTAAGGAGAGAAAGAATACAAAAACCTTTATTTCTAAGAAGGACAGAATAAGAAAGAAATTGCATGCTTTGTTAAAATTTCAGATCAAAGATGCTATAGTTATATCAAAAGGGAAGATCAAACTATCCCCTGTAACAAAACTGTCACAGTGAAAAACATAAGGTATTGCCTTTTCTAAAACCACTTTGATTGAAAAATATATGTTTCATGTGTTTTAAAAGCAATGTTTAACCTTTTTTATTGTACTTTCATGTTAAATACTAAAATCTGATTGGTTTAGACGCAGTTAACAATCCGTTGATTACCCTGTAGCAACACACGTGACAACGGGTAACACAACGGTAATGCCACATGCGTGGAAATTATGCGCGTACGGTTCACCGTAGAATTCTCAAAACGTCAGTTGCGCGTTTGAAAGAACCGGAATTAACTTGACGTCAATAAAAGCTTGCGTCCGATACAGCTTACTTGAAAACAACAAACGACAGACGATACATGCTTGCGAGTGTAGGAAACATGCTTGCGAGCCAGAAATAACGAAGCTTTATATGATAAATGACTCTAATTCGAGTATCAAACAAACAATAAGGAGATTAGTGAACCGGTGAGTGTGAAATCTCTATACATGAACGTAAAGATCGACGGTTTTTTTTTGCTGACGTCCTTAATCAATAAGACATTCAGTATAATGATGGTGCCTGTTTTATTTGAAATTGACACCCCTCGGAAAACCATTGTCAACCTCCGCTGACGCGTCGGTTGACAATGGTTTTCCTTGGGGTGTCAATTTCAAATGTTACCCTCCAAAACAGGCACCATTTATATAATGTCGCCTGCAGAGCAGAGTGGCACTTAGGGATTACTTAACACAGCGTCTGTCAGTCTGTCTGTCTTTATGTCACACCTTTTATCTCGAGAACTGTAAGAGATATGGATTCGATATTTTGCACATTTATAGCTTAGTACAATGGCTGTTGTATTTTACCATGGTTACCGACTTTGAACTTGACCTTTGACCAAATTTTTTGAAATAGTTGAAAGTACCAATATACAAGATCTTTTTGACATTTAAAGAGATAAGTCTTGTTATTTATCATGTGCACTGTTTGTCATAAAACATTTTGAAAAATGTTAGCATTGCTGTCCTCCTGACGTTGACCTTTGACCTACTTTGCAAAATATACTGCTGTGTTTAAAATCTAACTTAAGTCTTTTGAATCAAGAGAGGCAGAGAATTGATAATTATTATACATATTTATGAGCTCGTGGCAATGTACTTTGAACCTGAATGAAACACAGTAGCCACAAAAAAACTGAAATTTTAAGTACTATGAAAAAACATCGGAATCAGTATTCCAATATGGAGGGCTCAATGGCCCTCAGCGCCGAGTATAGGACAAAACTTACAGCTCTCCACCGGCAAGTGATGGCTTCTCCATATGTGTGAAAAATTCTCGAGAAGGATGTTAAACGATATTCAATCAATCAATCAATCCAATTCGGATTGTGTAGACGGACTTAAGTCTCTTTTAAAAGATTATTTGAAATCACATACTAATTAATTAATCAATTAATGATGAATACCTGCTTATAATAATTTAGATTTTATTAATATCCATTTTAGCTGTGAGGTGTTGGGGATTTGCATTGCTATCTGATTGTCAGATTCTGTCACAGTCTTACTATCCTTAATTAGCTACATTTTTAATGAAGCAGAATGAATGCAACATATGGAACACTCTAGTTTTAATTAAAAGAATATAAAACAATTTCAGATCTGACAAAAAGGCATGGCTAACAGTTTCAATAGTATTCATTACGTTTACTGTGTGTCTTATGTGTGTACTTGGAGCTTTGCTGATACAGAGATATAGAAAGCGTCTCTCTAACAGAAATGAAGGTAAATAAAATACAACTATGTTTTACTCCCACATGTGTTTTATAACGGTCATTATTGGTAGTTTAATATTGTACTGTTAGTAATTTTACTAATGTAAAATTTAGTATAAAGAAAGGCTAGCAACTGGTAGACGAATTATCTCTATTTGTAATTCTTACACATATTTTTATTTATAGTACGTGTTATATAAAATAATCACAAAATGTAACAATACACCCATTTGATTGTCACATTTTGTTTTTATAACCATATTGTATATTTTTACGGAAGAGTGGAGGATTATATACTTGTTGTGTTATAACTGTATAACGTCTTTTATTTTATTTACTTATCGCCATGAAAAAGTATAATAACTCCATATTTATACACTTATTTTGAATTGTATTTAGATTTTTTAACATAATTTAAGACAAATTATGGCTTATTTTATTGCATTGAATTTATTGCTTTACGTTTTATCGACTTAAAAAATACTGATTTTACGATATTGATCAAGGCAGGATAAATAAAGTTATAATACCGATTTAAAAATAAGAAAATTTCCGAAAAAAAGATATTCTTATTAAATTAACTTTGCGGGGCGGGAATTCATTTCTAATGAGTCCTCATTGCACTTGGGATCAGTGAAAGTTCCTGTACCATGTATTTGCTATCATATAAGAGTATACGCTTATACAGTTTGAAATTGGGGATGGGGAGCCATCAGCAGTTGAATAATGGATATAGGCATAGTGAGCTACATGAACAAATGTACACTGTACTGTCCCCATCATCACTTTTAAAAAGCGTCTTTTTTGTATGCTGATCGAATTTTATTGCTTGAAGATATATCGACTGAAAAAAAATGATCTGAACAAATATTGATTTAAGGTGGGATTCTTTTCACATTTCTTTTATTTAAAAATTAATGAAATTTTCACAGCATTAAGAAGACATTATCACTAGCTCATGGTATCACTGAGATTAAATTTGACCGTTTATTTTAGAGGCAAGGTCAGATCAAGGACAATGCCTTTTCCCTGGACATTAAGAATAAAAATGATACTGTTGTCAATCATACGATCCCTACTTGTATTTTAAAAGACTGAATGTTTTTCTTTTTGCATAAAAAGATACTACCATAATAGGGCCTATAAGTTGATGTTATCCAATCGACATAAATTATTTAACTAAAATGGATATTGCTGATCCGAATTTTCTCTACTTCAAAAAAAATAAAAATATTTTAGTTATTTTTATATGCTTTTTATATTCAAATTTTTCTCATTTTCACATATAGTAAAGTTCTCATATAAAGATACAAAATGAGATAAAAAAGTTCTGATCGTTTACTTAGAGAAAAATAACACGTTTTACGGATTTTTGCCTTAAATCTGAACGTATATTTGAAGAATTTAAAAGCTAACATAGTTTTAGTTTATTTGAAAAATCTTATATATTTGATATATTTTGAAACTTTAATCCCTTATTATTAATATCAGCTTTCTTTTAAAAATTTCTTCTAGTCTTTGAATGTGTAAAAATTATAACTAAATTCATTGTTCTATAATAATTCTGAGAGGCAGAAAAGAAAATATTTTCATACGCCACCATTCGGCCAAAATGTACAATACAATAATTACAATACAATACAATAATTTCTATAGCGCATTATAATAATGACACTCTAGTGCGCTTCACATTAAAATATATATAAGCATACAAAATGGCGAACAAATTACTTACATAATACATATTTGTGCATAAAAATAGGATATCTAAAAGACTTTATGTGTACTAAAAGACCATAAAATATTACGTTGCGTGGGATTCACTTTAATAAATTTACAACTAATGAAACATTAAAAAAGAAAAAATAAATATTAAAGGAACCTGTACTTGATCAGTAGTGCACAAAATAAAAAAAACCTTAAGATCAGTTCAGTGTCTTTTTACATTAGGTATATCACTATAAAACAATAGTTACATTCCCTCGTAAGCTCGTTCAAAGAGGTGAGTTTTAAGACATTTTTTTAAAGCGGAAACAGATTTGGAATTTTTAAAATACAGAGGAAGAGAGTTCCATAGTGAGGCGGCGGCGTAGTCAAATCGACGACTGCCGTACGTAACAGTTCTAACTTTAGGAACATCCAAAAGAAAAGAACACTGTGAACGTAAGGACCTGGAAGGAGAGTATATTTTGAGAAGCTCAAACAAGTAATTTGGAGCACGATTGCTCAATGCATTGTATACAAACAGAAGTATTTTATATTGAATCCTGTATTGGACAGGGAGCCAGTGGAGATCTTTCAAGATTGGGGTCACGTGATCAGATTTCCTGGTACGAGTTATCAGCCGCGCAGCAGTATTTTGAACTTTTTGCAGTTTATTCACTAGTTGCTTATTTATACCATACATCAGTGAGTTTGCATAATCGAGTCGGGAAGTCACAAGTGAATTTATCAAAGTTTTACATGCGTCGTCTGTGATGTACGGACGGATGCGACCGATGTTATATATAGCCTTGCGAGTTTTCAAACATAATTTACTTTCTATATAAAGTTGTATAATTGTGATGAGGAAAGAAAAATATGGTCTTTTAAATCTCTTACACCTGAATATATAAAAGATTTAAGCAAATGTACTTTGAATATTTCATCTAGTCAAAAACCACAGAAGTATCCTACCTTAAGAATGAGAACTAATGATAAAATATATGGAGATAACGAACAGTATTCAAGCTAAAAGTCCATGAAACTGTGCAAAATAGGAGCAGAGCAAACCCGGACCTCCAACCTTTAGAGATGGAATCATGTGCCATGGAGGAGTGAGCATCCCATGCCGACCAGTCACACCCGCCGTGTACTCCTTGGCATGGTCGGGAAATAACTGAAAAATCCGTCGACAGTTCAGTGTGTTAATAATGGCCTAATAATTTGTATGAAAAAAAGTTAGTCAGTATTTGACTCAATGATAAATTGTATTTGTTGACAAGGGCATTGTATCGACCATAAAACCTATGAAATGATGACTTTAAACGAGACTTCTGATATTCTTGTTTCATCAACTTGTTTGTTCAGTAATTTACCTCCTTGTAGAAATTGTACATACGTAGGACATGCTCTTGCGTATCGAATCAAATGAGAGATATAAACCACGTATGATTTAGGTAGCTCGACACAAATTGGTAAATATATATGCGTAATACTTAAATTGATATAAATATTTATTTTGGGAAGTTTGAAAATATTGTTTTCCAACTAACTTTGCGGTTGCAGGAATTATGATGAAACGCCTCATCTTTCAGAGTTATTTAGGAATCGTGGAATTTTCAAGGTTTATGGACACGTGCTATTTCTTTTCATTTTATGATTACCTTCCCTAATGTATTTTTGATATCTGAAATATGAGCATGTTTTAGTAAATAAATAAGTTAACACCAACAAAAACAAACAAAAAATAATATTGATATTTTTGTACGTTATTTGTGTACATATTTTTCATATACAAGTCGATCTCTCTTATCTGACATTAAGCTAGTCTCACAATAAATAATAAATAGTGATATTCTTTAGTATTATAATTGATTTATTTTAATTGCACGAAAGTAATTTGTCTTTTTTTTAAATAATGTGACAACATGGATAAATCAAATAACAATGATTGAATTTTTTTTGTACTTGTCATTTATAACAGATGATGAAGAAGCCATGCCACTTATACAACCTACAGTTTCAATCACCAAGAGAGGTATTTTTTATTTTTAACATTTATTTTTACTGATACATTGTTCAATTATTGGGATATTTAAATCTAAATACAGTCATTGCTTTTAGTAGAATGATGTTTTCGTCTCCCGCTTTCACTAAAAGTAGGGGATATTAATTTGGGTCTGTCTGCTTTCGCAAAGAAATTTCATATGATAACTTCCAAAGGCCTAAAGAGGACCCCTATTGATTTTGAGGTAAAAACGTTTAATATTAAGGTAATAAATTCATAAATTCTGCCCGTTTCAGCAAAATATCTCGAGAAGCCTTTGAGCTTTTGCAATGTAAATTTCATGCCACAACTCTTTATGACCTAAGAAAGTCCCCATTTGAATTGAAGGTCAAAAGGTCAAAGGTCAAGTTGATAAATTCACATATTCTATTTGTGTGTAAAACATTAATTTCAAAGAGATATCTCAAGATCCATCTAGCTTTAAAATGAAATTTTATAACTTAACTTCCTATAGATGGCCCGCTCCCCTTCATAAAGTGTCCCCTCCCCCTTTAGACTAACCCACCCCTCTAGATCTGCGCACGCTTTTTTTCTTTAACCGGGGGACACAGATTATCTGAATTAGCTTGTCAATCTAAATTAGAAACGATAACTGTTTTTGAAGAAGCAGATGCCAATTTTGAGCATTTTTTCAATTAACTATTACTAATGATAAAATGATTAATGAAGCTAAACATCAAAATAATCAAAATTATTCAATATTGTATGTACAAAATAAAACTTTGAATGATTTATGACAAATCCATTTTTGATATATACTACATTGTGAGGCAAAACTACTCTAATCAGAGTCTATAAATAAAATTATGTGAAATAAATGAATTAACAATTTCTAAACTAGCAACATCATATTTACATCTTGTATTAAAAAAAACATCAACTGGTAATTTAAAAGAAAGACAAATAACCTTCAGAAGACCTTAACATATCCCATAAAAGTTTACTATTTTACGAAAAAACTATATGTGAAGAGACACAAAATGCAAACATTGTTGTGAGGTTTCTCTTTAACACTCATTTTGAATCTCATCATCCATAAGATTTTCACAAAGACAATACATTTGCAAATAACATTTTTATATGTATGTATTTATTTTATGAAGCATTCAAGTATCATATTTTTCAGTTGACTAAAGTCAATTTTCTCATCACTGTAGAAAACCTAAATTGGGTGTCCTCAATTTATATTGGTGACAAATATTGTTGCATGGCGTATTTGAATCCACATTCTCCAGAAGATATAGTAAGCGTCGGGAAAGTAGAAAGAATTGGTGTACTTATAACAGATCTAGTCAGTGGTGAAATAGTAGAGTTTGGAGATGATGCCCGTGAAATATATATTGAAAATAGAGATGGATACCAGGATTATATTTTCCTAGATGAGCTGAATGTGAAGAAAGAAAATGTAATTTACGACTTCTTTTACTTTCTCTGTATCATATTTTACATGATTATAATGTAATCTTCCCATTGGTATTTTTTATTTACCCCATTACTTTTCATATATGAATAGCTTTTACATTTCTAAAGATTAATGTGCCGAAAAGTTTTCAATAATCCTTGAAAAAAGAATGACATTGTTACATATGATTCTATATTAAGGAGAATTTGTTTATGCATACAGCTGGATAAAATTATTTAAATGATTGATTGATTGTATATTGTTTAACGTCCCTCTTGAGAATTTTTCACTCATGTGGAGACGTCTATTTAAATGATAATTATAATCTTTATATAAATCAGAAAAATGCAAAACTTTTTTATTGCATGTCGGTATTAGTAAAATATTAACATATTCTGGCAAGTAAAAAAAATATGAGAAGCATAACACACACCCGCACCATAACATTTAATCCAAATTTGTCTTTACTTTATTATTTTATTGATTTAATTTAAATTTAATCACAGGTATCCGAACAGCATCCATTAAAAACAAGTCAGATCTATAAGCAACTCATCAATTATCTCATTCGCAAGATTTGGAAGGAAATGTCCGATGCAAATCCAAAAGAGGAATCGTTATGTAAATCATGTGACGTTAATTATGTGATCACAGTTCCCCATCATTGGAAAGATGAAATCAAAATGCTTAGGAAGGCTTTTGAAGAAGTTATGGTAATTTGTTTAACCTTCTTTTAGAAAAGTCCATTATAAAGACTATGTCGTGATTTTTGTGGTAGATAAGAAACAAAGTTTTTTACTTATATACAAGAACACTTTTCTCAATGTATTTCTAATGTGCTTAATGAATTGATGGTATATTTCAAAATATTTCTAACATGCTAATGTACTGATGGTATACATTGAATCAATTTGTAAATGCCAGGTAGATTTCCATCATACAATACAGAAAGATAAATTGCACATTAAGTTAAGAGAAGTGGCCATTTCCCCATACATTCATGAGGTGAATGACCCAGTAACCTGCTTGAATTTAAATGTTGACAACATGACTTTAAGAAAAAATAAAACATAATTATGTCAATCTGCATGTTGGATCAAGTGAGTATTTTTAAATTCAATTCAAAATATATAGAAATATATATATATGTTGTAGGTTCCTTTTTATGTTATATTCTGGAAATAATTTTTCACCAAGAATGTATATTGTTCTTTCATCTGACTTGCAGTATTTTTTCAGAATGATACAATGCTAACTATAATAATTTCAAGTTGTGCATAAGTTATTTTGTAACAATCTATAAAATTAAATGTTATTACTATACATTAAGAAGAGGTATCCAAAAGCAAGGAAAATAACATTTTTTTGCTATATAATAATTATCTTTGCGTTTCAATATCGATATTTGTTACCGATATTTACTGACAAATCCAATCAAATTTTAGAGTATTGCAACTTGATATTCCTACGAACTATGGATTCGAAAAGACCAGACAAGATTTCAAGTACGCCATGCATAGAAAAATGGGAAACAACTCCGGAGACCAAATTTGTTACATTGTTCGAAAATTTATTTACAACAAGCGTTTTTACAAAATGGAGAGATACTTGTCACAGAGAATACATATTCTTACTGCATTTGTTCGAAAAACAGAAATATAAATTGCACGAGGACATAGATGAAAAAGAAGTATGCGAAGTCAACTTCTCCTCATCATTAATTGATTTATTTAAAGCAGAAGGACATAACATGACTGATCTTGAAGATAGCGCTAGAAAAATAGGAATGGAATTAAAAGATAATGGACATACTTTCATTTTATCATGGTCGTTATTGAAAACGTGTTTTTCAGATGTCCTGAATAAAACGCATGATATCATTCGGCAACAGGAACAGAAATTCAAGGATGAAAAAGTACGTTTTGTTTTAATGACTGGCAGCTATTCTCAGATGAAACTTTTTCAGCATGACGCAGAGAAAAAATGGTTTCAAGGACTAAATGTAACGGTAGCAATACCAGTTCATGCCGGTTCAACATTTGCGATGGGTGCTGCATATTTTTTCAAAAAATTTCCAGATTGGACATCGTATGACCTTTTCAATGCGTGACAAAGAATATATGTGCAGCAAGTATCCGTTTTGCATTACCAGTTGCAGAAAATATGTTAAAAATGGTTGATGTCTTTCGTGTGTTTGTAAAGGTTAAATCAAAATATTTGCTTGCCTTGACTTAATGAAATAAAAAGAGTGACACATTGTATTTGATTAGCATTATTCTCTAACATTCCATTTTATGCCATTGTGGATCCTATTTTTTCTTCTGTATTTATGAGATAGAAGCATAAACTCTGAAATGCAAGGGATAACTAAACACATTTTATGACTTTTTTAACCTTCTTTTAGAAAAGTTCATTATAAAGACTATGTCGTGATTTTTGTGGTAGATAAGAAACAAAGTTTTTTACTTATATACAAGAACACTTTTCTCAATGTATTTCTAATGTGCTTAATGAATTGATGGTATATTTCAAAATATTTCTAATATGCTAATGTACTGATGGTATACATTGAATCAATTTGTAAATGCCAGGTAGATTTCCATCATACAATACAGAAAGATAAATTGCACATTAAGTTAAGAGAAGTGGCCATTTCCCCATACATTCATGAGGTGAATGACCCAGTAACCTGCTTGAATTTAAATGTTGACAACATGACTTTAAGAAAAAATAAAACATAATTATGTCAATCTGCATGTTGGATCAAGTGAGTATTTTTAAATTCAATTCAAAATATATAGAAATATATATATATGTTGTAGGTTCCTTTTTATGTTATATTCTGGAAATAATTTTTCACCAAGAATGTATATTGTTCTTTCATCTGACTTGCAGTATTTTTTCAGAATGATACAATGCTAACTATAATAATTTCAAGTTGTGCATAAGTTATATTTTGTAACAATCTATAAAATTAAATGTTATTACTATACATTAAGAAGAGGTATCCAAAAGCAAGGAAAATAACATTTTTTTGCTATATAATAATTATCTTTGCGTTTCAATATCGATATTTGTTACCGATATTTACTGACAAATCCAATCAAATTTTAGAGTATTGCAACTTGATATTCCTACGAACTATGGATTCGAAAAGACCAGACAAGATTTCAAGTACGCCATGCATAGAAAAATGGGAAACAACTCCGGAGACCAAATTTGTTACATTGTTCGAAAATTTATTTACAACAAGCGTTTTTACAAAATGGAGAGATACTTGTCACAGAGAATACATATTCTTACTGCATTTGTTCGAAAAACAGAAATATAAATTGCACGAGGACATAGATGAAAAAGAAGTATGCGAAGTCAACTTCTCCTCATCATTAATTGATTTATTTAAAGCAGAAGGACATAACATGACTGATCTTGAAGATAGCGCTAGAAAAATAGGAATGGAATTAAAAGATAATGGACATACTTTCATTTTATCATGGTCGTTATTGAAAACGTGTTTTTCAGATGTCCTGAATAAAACGCATGATATCATTCGGCAACAGGAACAGAAATTCAAGGATGAAAAAGTACGTTTTGTTTTAATGACTGGCAGCTATTCTCAGATGAAACTTTTTCAGCATGACGCAGAGAAAAAATGGTTTCAAGGACTAAATGTAACGGTAGCAATACCAGTTCATGCCGGTTCAACATTTGCGATGGGTGCTGCATATTTTTTCAAAAAATTTCCAGATTGGACATCGTATGACCTTTTCAATGCGTGACAAAGAATATATGTGCAGCAAGTATCCGTTTTGCATTACCAGTTGCAGAAAATATGTTAAAAATGGTTGATGTCTTTCGTGTGTTTGTAAAGGTTAAATCAAAATATTTGCTTGCCTTGATTTAATGAAATAAAACGAGTGACACATTGTATTTGATTAGCATTATTCTCTAACATTCCATTTTATGCCATTGTGGATCCTATTTTTTCTTCTGTATTTATGAGATAGAAGCATAAACTCTGAAATGCAAGGGATAACTAAACACATTTTATGACTTTTTTAACCTTCTTTTAGAAAAGTTCATTATAAAGACTATGTCGTGATTTTTGTGGTAGATAAGAAACAAAGTTTTTTACTTATATACAAGAACACTTTTCTCAATGTATTTCTAATGTGCTTAATGAATTGATGGTATATTTCAAAATATTTCTAATATGCTAATGTACTGATGGTATACATTGAATCAATTTGTAAATGCCAGGTAGATTTCCATCATACAATACAGAAAGATAAATTGCACATTAAGTTAAGAGAAGTGGCCATTTCCCCATACATTCATGAGGTGAATGACCCAGTAACCTGCTTGAATTTAAATGTTGACAACATGACTTTAAGAAAAAATAAAACATAATTATGTCAATCTGCATGTTGGATCAAGTGAGTATTTTTAAATTCAATTCAAAATATATAGAAATATATATATATGTTGTAGGTTCCTTTTTATGTTATATTCTGGAAATAATTTTTCACCAAGAATGTATATTGTTCTTTCATCTGACTTGCAGTATTTTTTCAGAATGATACAATGCTAACTATAATAATTTCAAGTTGTGCATAAGTTATATTTTGTAACAATCTATAAAATTAAATGTTATTACTATACATTAAGAAGAGGTATCCAAAAGCAAGGAAAATAACATTTTTTTGCTATATAATAATTATCTTTGCGTTTCAATATCGATATTTGTTACCGATATTTACTGACAAATCCAATCAAATTTTAGAGTATTGCAACTTGATATTCCTACGAACTATGGATTCGAAAAGACCAGACAAGATTTCAAGTACGCCATGCATAGAAAAATGGGAAACAACTCCGGAGACCAAATTTGTTACATTGTTCGAAAATTTATTTACAACAAGCGTTTTTACAAAATGGAGAGATACTTGTCACAGAGAATACATATTCTTACTGCATTTGTTCGAAAAACAGAAATATAAATTGCACGAGGACATAGATGAAAAAGAAGTATGCGAAGTCAACTTCTCCTCATCATTAATTGATTTATTTAAAGCAGAAGGATATAACATGACTGATCTTGAAGATAGCGCTAGAAAAATAGGAATGGAATTAAAAGATAATGGACATACTTTCATTTTATCATGGTCGTTATTGAAAACGTGTTTTTCAGATGTCCTGAATAAAACGCATGATATCATTCGGCAACAGGAACAGAAATTCAAGGATGAAAAAGTACGTTTTGTTTTAATGACTGGCAGCTATTCTCAGATGAAACTTTTTCAGCATGACGCAGAGAAAAAATGGTTTCAAGGACTAAATGTAACGGTAGCAATACCAGTTCATGCCGGTTCAACATTTGCGATGGGTGCTGCATATTTTTTCAAAAAATTTCCAGATTGGACATCGTATGACCTTTTCAATGCGTGACAAAGAATATATGTGCAGCAAGTATCCGTTTTGCATTACCAGTTGCAGAAAATATGTTAAAAATGGTTGATGTCTTTCGTGTGTTTGTAAAGGTTAAATCAAAATATTTGCTTGCCTTGATTTAATGAAATAAAACGAGTGACACATTGTATTTGATTAGCATTATTCTCTAACATTCCATTTTATGCCATTGTGGATCCTATTTTTTCTTCTGTATTTATGAGATAGAAGCATAAACTCTGAAATGCAAGGGATAACTAAACACATTTTATGAAGTTTTTTTTTCAATGATGATATGGTAAAGATAGCAATGAATATGACAGAACAGTCTGCATAAACTCCGAATGTTCAACTTTGATTTTTTCCCATATATTTAAGAATCTTTAGCCACTATGAAATTTGATAGGAAAAATATGTGTTTTATTCTTCCACTCTTTGACATTTGCCTTTATACAACTTCATCAGAATTCCAACAGTCTTTTGGAATTTTTGATATTATTATTTATATAATCAAATTTTGTGTGTGTGCATTTGCGTTTTTGTACAAACGTGATTTTTAAAAATAGACAAGTGTGAAATAAAATGCAAGATATAGATTTTTCCTTACAAATGTCGGAAATGTTTTAAGTTCATGGTCTTTAGGCTAGGTGTCTGATTGAGGTAAAAACATTGTGGCACTGTCTTCTGTATATCTTTTATGAAAAATCACTCATTGTTTCTGTTCAAATCCACGAGATCTCATACAATTATTGTAAAAAAAAATGAAAGCTTAAAGTTAATTGGGGTTAAAATAAAAGAAGAGTATATGTAGAATACTGTAATTATTACCACCTTTAAAAAAACTGGAATTGACTTTTTTGATTAAAAATATAAATACAAAAGACGAATGAAGGTGAATAACTAACAGGAACAATATTACACAATTATTGCTCCTTTTTAGGTCAATACGATGATTTAGACACCTGAGGACTACAATATTCACTGAGCCCGAATGGCGAACTGAAAATTGAATTTCGAAGGTGGCTAAATCATTGTTTTGACCGCAAAAAATAGCAATAACTGTTTTATTATATGATTTAATGATAGCAAACTCCTACAATACTTTTTCTTTGCTTTAATTGAAAGTTTTAACAAGAAATTTCCACACGAACACATTGTAACAGAAAAAATGGAACAGGTCAATAATTCATTATATTTACCTGCAATAATTCCTCATATTGACCTGGAAGGTCACGTGATTCATTATATTGACCTGCAATAATTTCTTACATTGACCTGGAAGGTCACGTGCAGGTCAATATAACGTAGTAATTTTCTAACATTGTTGGATCTCAGCCAATCAGAGAGAAGGAAATTATTCAATCGTATAATAATCTAATTTATTGATTTAAATATTATTTTCATTATTTCTGATTTGATATACTTACATCTTCAGTTATCTACGAAGAAGTGATCAAGTTTTGTTTTCATCTTACTGCAAAAATGTCCTGCGAAACACCAGAAAATAAAACTGTCTCATAACCTAATTGATTTATCGCGATCGGACTGTGCAAGAATTTATTTTTATTTTTTTTATGGAGAAGATCACTGTAAATGTTTTGTAAACATTAAACTACATTGTACTTAATTACTCAGTTACGGTAAGATAAAGGCTCCTCTCTTCAGAGTCTAACAACTGAATTTCCTCACCACTAAATTGATTTGCAGAATCCCTGACGGACTGGTCGATTTCCTTCAAACATATTGGCTCCACATACTCTTGACTTGAAAGCAAATTACTTTCATATGATAAATGCTGTTTATCATCTGTACATGCACTTTCACAATTTTGAGACATTTTGTCATTCCTTTCTGATTCAGTATTTGGACATACTATATTCAATTTCAAGGTATGGATATTTTCATGTAGGCTGTGATCCAGTTTTGCATTAAATAACCCTTCAAATATTACTCTTTCTATTTTCAGGTCCGATTCAATAAACTCTACTTTATCATATTGCGCAGAAGCATCCGATTTCCTTCGAAAAGAAGATTTTTCTGTTCTCTTCAATTTGCAAAACCTCTTGTGAATAAGGGATGGAATTATAAAAATGATAATGCAAGTGCTGAAAACTGAGACAACAATGAATCCTAGTTTCCACCCATCTGATCTGTTTTCCTTTAGAATCTGTTTAATGTCTTTTATTGAAAGCGAGCTTTCAGTTTGTACATTGTCCCAACGATTAGTAGTGATATCATTATCACGATCAGTTGTTTTTTGTTCAAAATTCTTGGATACTGCCAGTTCGTTCTCAAATCGTTCTCTATCTGTATTCTGTTCTAGGAAGACTTGAAAAAAAGCAATATCAGGTATGAACATATGGAGCATTTAGTTAAGATATAAGTAAATTTTCTATAAACCCAAAACGTTTGTCCCATATTATAGTTATAGCAGGATCAGACAGCATTCGAAATAAGAAACATTATAAATATTTTCTTCATAATAGGCAATTTTTCATTATGCATAATTCGACCAAGTCCTTGGCGAACACAGTACACTAATATTTTCAAATAATAACATTTATCTTTGAAATAAAAAACGAAAATTAAAGTTACAAAACATAACATGTCAATTATCAAGAATCATGAAATTCACAATTTATAAATAGACACCATCGCACTCATCATAACCATGCACTTAGTTTCTTGCTTTAATATTCAGGCGGAGAGAAAATGATTTTAAATAGCTAATGCAATTTCACTTTATGATCAATATAGCCCCAATAGTGGTCGTATTTCAATAATGGTTGCAACCGTTGTTTGATATTGAAATCCACCGCAATAACTATTGAAATAATTATTTCAACAGTGGTCGTATTCCAATAGTGGTTGCATACTATGTTATTGAAATGCACTCTCAACCACTATTGAAATAATTATTAGCTCACCTGAGCCGAAGGCTCAAGTGAGCCTTTCTGATCAAAATTTGTCCGTCGTCTGTCGTTGTCATTGTTGTCGTTGTCGTCGTCGGCGTAAACTTTTCACATTTTCATCTTCTTCTCAAGAACCACTGGGCCAATTTCAACCAAACTTGGCACAAAGTATCCTTGGGTAAAGGGGATTCAAGTTTGTTCAAATGAAGGGCCACGCAATTAAAAATTAATGGCATTTTTAAAAAATCTTCTTCTCCAGAACCGCTGGGCCAGGAAAAATGAAACTCATGTGGAAGCATCCTCAGATAGTATAGATTCAAGTTTGTTCAAATCATGACCCCCGGGGCGAGGGTGGGGCCAAAATGACTGACCCAAGTTTTACATAGGAATATATAGAAAAAATCTTTAAAAAATCTTCTTCTCCAGAACCACTGGGCCAGGAAAGATGAAACTCATGTGGAATCATCCTCAGGTAGTGTAGATTCAAGTTTGTTCAAATCATGACCCCCGGGGCAAGGGTGGGGCCAAAATGGCCGACCCAAGTTTTACATAGGAATATATAGGAAAAATCTTTAAAAATCTTCTTCTCCAGAACCACTGGGCCAGGAAAGATGAAACTCATGTGGAATCATCCTCAGGTAGTGTAGATTCAAGTTTGTTCAAATCATGACCCCCGGGGCAATGTTACTTTTGGGGCGAAAATGGCCGACCCAAGTTTTATATAGGGATATATAGGGAAACCTTTTAAAATCTTCTTTTCAAGTACTTCAAAGCTATGATTAGTGATATTTATTTGGAATCATCCTCAGGTAGTGTAGATTCTAGTTTGTTCAAATGATGAAACCTGGAGGGGGGGGGGGGGCAAAAGCCAACTTAAAGCCCGATGTGCTCAGGTGAGCGCTGTGGCCCCTGGGCCTCTTGTTTCAATATTTGGCCCCTCCCCACATTGCTCATAAAAACTGGTAAAATTTTCTGAGTGATTTAAGAAAAGCTAAAAATGTTTACAAACGACACAAAACGCTCGCCGACGGACGAAAACAGATTGCAAAAAAGATAATTAAAATGAATATATTATAAAAAAATTTTTAACCTTTCTCAATTTCACAGCCAGTAGCAATATCACAGAACTCTATCGCGCAGAAACACTGAAGCTGACAGAGTTTCCCATATGTGGGGTATTGGCATACTTTTGTACAGTTCAAACCATAATATCCAGGGTCGCATTCTATACATTAAACAAAAAAATGCTCAAATTCTTCAAAAGTTAGGACGTGTCAAAACTTTAATTTACATTGATTGCAATCAGACAAATAGTTTTTTCTTTTAAATGTAATTTTATTGTAAACTTAAAAAACGCACCGACACAATGTTGTTTAAGATTGTCCCATACTGTTCCAGAGCAGCAATTTAGCAGTCCATCCTTCCTAAAAATATAAACTATTGTGTCTTTGACTTGTAGAAATATTAATCGTACATTTCTGTTTAATGTTAAAAAAACTCACCCTAAGCAGCGTGAGAAAACAAAAACTCCTTGTGAAAACAAAATCAAGGAAATACTCAGAAATGTCATTTTTTCTTTTAAGCTCAAAGTCGGAATTAGGGAAAAAGGACTAGCTCTTCGTCGTGTGATTCTATTAAAAATATATCTAAGATCTATAAGAGTCATTCGCCCACTTCAGTTTTATTTGGATACTGAAGGAAGTAAATTGGTTTATTTTTATTTATGATGCTATCTGATTCCCCAATCTTGTTTGAATTACGTATATTGTATTTAATTACAGCACACATGACAAACGTGATAGGATAAATAAAATATGGTTAAAACAAGATTATAATTCTATAGATTAATTTCAAACGATAAAGAATTTTAAAAGTAGCAAAATGAAAATCTACACCTGCAATAACCTAATATTCCAGCAATATATTGAAGAGTTTGGTTCTAGTATCAACTTATTTTGTAAATATCTTAAATGTTTCTCAAATCGCTGGTTACCAAATCAGTGTTAAAAAAGCCAACAATGCAAAGAAACCCTCAAATTTAAGTATTAATTAAATAAAATTTCTTTTAAAGATCAATGTTCTATTTTTCTTTATCTTACTTTAAAAAAAAATCAATGCATTGTAAGAATTTGAAAGATATGATTTCCAATTCCTATTATTACATAATCAAAACTCATAATCAAATTTTAAAATAATTGTTTCCTGGTTATTTCAATTAAATAGGTATGCATTTCCTTTCATTAATTGTGTTTAAATTTTAAACATATGGTGTCAGGAACAGTATGCTTGCATGATTTAATTGTCGGTTAATTCACAAACCTTTTGACAGTTATTTTTGTATTCGGTATATAACTATGTCACGGGAACAAACAAGAAGGTGGGGTGTCTAATTATTATTATTCCACCTAATTTCGTTTCCAGGAATTTCACAGATGGCTGGGAAAATATTTACAGTAATAATAAAAATAATCAAAAGAAACCCCCAAAATTGTTTTCAATATGTTTTAATAAAATTATTACACCTAAAGTTGTGACGTTGGCAATTCAAAATATTACCCATAAAGGTTTTAAAAGGAATATCATCCTCCGATATCTTGTGCAAATGCCTGATAAGATCCCTAAATGTTTTGTAAGGATAGTTTTTTAATTAGCTTTACTTCAATGACGAAATATTTGGAAATAAACATTTTCGAGGAAGGTGCATGTCATCTGACCTTAAATCAACAGCATAAATACATAGTGTGGATATAACCTTCATAGATCTTAATAGTTTTCCCCCGCTTCCAATGAAATAGGGGATATTAATTTTGGTCTGTCTGTCCGTCCGTCTGTATTTCTGTGAGTCTGTAACACTTGTAATATCTCGAGAAGCCTTTGCGTCTTTGCGCTTTTGCAAAGAAATTTACTCAACAACTCCCTATAGCATGAGGAAGATCTCTATTGATTTTGAGGTAAAAAAGGTAATGGTAAAAAAGATCAAAGGTCATAGATTAAAATTTTTGTCAGTTTTAACACTTCATTTCCGCGCAATATCTCGAGAAGTCTTTGACCTTTTGCGGTGAAGTTTTGTACGACACTACAAGACCCCGTGGCCAAAGGAAGACCCCTTAAATTTTTAGATCAAAAGATCAAATATCCAGGTCGTTACTCATATATTTTATTTGTAGGTAAAACCTTCATTTCCAGACAATACTAGTACTCAAGAATCTTTTGGTCATATAAATAATGTTCTCTGTTTTTTCAACTTTGACAAACATGCATCACAACGAAATCGAGGACAGTGTTGTAGAGGCTTCCCGAAGTATTAATTGGTAGATCAGCAAATTAACATACAATTTTTAATCTTTAACAACGTTAAGAGGTTTAATCTGGAAATATATTAGACCCCTGAAAATCGTGTGAACCAGTGTGAACTTTTCAAGAACCTCATGGTTTTCCCTATTGTTGAAAAAACAATATTAGCGAATTTTTAAAGCAAATAGTAGGATATAAAAAAATTTTTCTGAGAGACTATGGGCAATACAGATACATTTACTTTTTCTGAGATAGGAATAAAACATACCTGACTTTCGTCATTTTTCATCGAAAAATGAAAGCTATGATTTTTCCATGATTTAACGTCAAAAGTATGTTCAAATGCACCTTATTGTACCACCCTAAACATGTATATGTACGAGGTTATTAGAACAAGAGGCCCATAGGCCACAATGTTCACCTTTGGATCCCTTTTCTGCACAAGATTTTCACCATGTAGCCACACCCTATTCCACGGTTTAGTAAATTTCTGTTTTAAATTGGTTTCACCTTTTTTAGCCTAATGGTTCCCTAGAAGAAGACTTTAAAATATTTTGTCTGGATATTTAAATGTAAGACTTTGATTCCTTATTATTTGGCAAATAATCATAGCCCAGGTGCCATGGTTTAAACAATTTAGAATCTTTACTAACCTATAAAGCTTCCACACGTTTTGGCTTTTCTGGCCCATTGGTTTTTAAGAAGATAAAAAATACTATATATTTCAATGTAAAATTATGATTCCCTATAATGGCCTTACCCTACCCACAGGGGCCATAATTTGAACAATTTAGAATCTACACTTCCTCTGGATATACTTTCACATTGTTTTCAGCTTTTCTGGCCCAGTGGTTCTTGTAAAGATTTTGAAATATATTTCCTCTACATATCAGTTTAATAATGAGGTCCCATCTTAACCCCAGGGACATTATTTGATTAATTTTGAATCTACACAACATCAGGAAACTTCCTCATCAGTTTTAGCTTTCCAGGCCCATAGTTTCTTCAGAAGATTTTCTAATGATTCAATTCATTTTTTTCTCGTGTGAGATCAATTTCCATGGAGTAGTAAACATCCTCTACCAAAGAGTCGTAACTGTAAATGGACAAATTTAAAAACATGCACAAACTTTCAAAGCCTTGCAAGTTTAAGAAATAATAGTATCTCAGTTGATATTCAACTTATGATAGATCAATTCGTTTACAAGGTGATTGCACATAATTTGTAATGATGTCTTTTAAGGAGGCTGTTGAAATCCTTGTATCATCAACCTATTTGTTGATAGCTAAAATAAACATGAAAAATCCTCTTGTGTATCAAATGAATTGAGAGACAGAAACGTATAGAGTAAATAATGGTATATTTCATCATAATTATGGAAAATTGAGATTTATTATGAATTGCATAGACAAAAAAAAAAAAAAAAAAAAAAAAAAAGAACAGAACATTTAATTTCATAGAAATACATGTATATGGTATATAAGATAATTTAAAGATATCTGAATATATTTTAGGAACTTAATTTTGCATCATTCATGCCTAAAACAAACCAAAATGTGCAAAAATATACAAATTCAAATAACCAATTTTAAGTTATTGAGTTAAATGTTCAAATAAATATTTCAGATCAAAAAATTGTTCATTGTCTTTTATCTTAGACGCTGTTGTTAACATTGAACAATTTTATCTTCTTATTCAGAACCACTGGACCAATTTGAACCAAACTTGGCACAGAGTATGGAGGGAATTTATGTTTGTTCAAAGGAAGCAACACACACTCCTCCAGGCCCGGGAAATAATTAAGAGGCAGTCCACCGAAAAACCAGGCGATAGGTGGCACATCGCATGCCATGGATTTTAATTATTTTTTGCATGTAGACTTAAGTATAGTAATTGTTTACACATGACAACATCAAAAAAAAATTTAGTGGTCTTCTAGTCCTATTTTTGGTAAATGCCTAATTTTAAGTGCAAAAAGGTCAACTTGAGGGTAAAACAATTACTACGTTTTTATTTTGTTTTACATGTAACAGATACTCAAAAGCTGGATGTGTCAATCAATATTATTTATAGCATAGACTCTTATCATTTATCTTATAATGAATAAGACTCCAAATTATATTTCTTTAGAAAAAAATATGTGGTCCAAAATTGAGTTTAACAAGTTACTTTTTGAATTCAGTATCCAATTTTCGATACGTTATAAAATCCAATACATTACTATGACAGAATGTTTTCCTCATGTTATTATGAATACAAAGTACAAACTTTTGAGTCATTTAATAAAATTGGTGGGAACAGGTATATTGAGAGAAATAAAAGGAGTCAAATTTACCTATTATTTATGATTTTCCCCTAATTTAACCGATCCCGATCGGAATTATATCGGGAAGTAAATACTATAATTGTTTCGTTAAATTTGGCTCTTTTGTTGCAATGTTGTTTAAGAATTACTTTATTTATTATTTTACATATTATATAGGTGGCAGGTGCCTTTCGTTTGATAAATTTATTAATTTTGCATTATTTTCAATCGTGATCGGTTTTATTTCAATCTGGGTCGGTTTTTACCGTAAAATTAGAAATATTTCCTCTATTTGGTTCTTCATTATAATTTATCAGAAAAATATGCTTCTCTTTTATTTCTTTTCAATCAGTTTTCTGTTTTTAATTGACTGTAACCATAGATTCAATGTATATATTATTTAAATTACTAATGTCTTTTACGTACATGAAGATTACATGTAAAAGCATGTTTGATTTATTGATACTAGGTATTTCAAAAAATGTATTTGTACGTGCATCATGCAACAACTGAGAGCAGACAGCTTTCTACGTATAATTTCATTATTTATCTTATTTCCAAGTAAAATTTCTTTTTCTATTTTCTCAGGAATTAAAGAATTAAATTCTATCAGTGACGAAATTGATTAAACTTGGCTATATACAGAAAATATTTTATATGTACAGTCTCAACTTGATCCAAGTTTTTTTTTTACCGGTCATCTGTAAAGCCTTCCCCCCTGTATTTCCCTCTTTTACAAATTTTGATTTTATATAAATAAGAAAATAAGTGATATAGTATCATTATTTAAGAGCTGATAAATCGCAAGCAAAAAGCAGGGGGGGGGGTTTCATGATTAAATTGTACGTGAAAACTTTTAGAATTGGCCAATATAGTCAATTGTTATACCCTTATAAATATCCTTCTATATATTTATTACTAATAAAAAGTCCAACAAAAGAAATGTTTATTACGTCGGTCTAACAATTTCACT